ATCGTTAGCGTGTAAAAACATCATCCGCTCATAGTTCACCGGGAGAGTTGAGGACTGCAACGAGCTCAGTACCAGCTTGCACTCAGAGAATAGACGCTCACAAGCGTTGCTGGTGGGGGGAGTGTGATGCAGCAGCTCGTCGTACTGGGTCGCAACACGAGGCGTACAGCGCTGCTTCTTGGCCTGTCGAAGAATGGTGGATGCAAAGTCGACACGGGCAATTGGGGCAGCGGTAGGTTCTCCCGGCTCAACCACAAATTTCTCCACTGCATGCTGCTCGCTGGAAGATAGCGGGAGATCGTTCTGAAGCTTAACAATTGCATCTTCAAACTCCGGTGAGTGAATGATATTCGCGCTTGGACTGAGATATTCACCCATGACCGGGTACTTGGCGGTGCACGCGTCAAAAAGAAGGCGAACGTCCGCCATGCTGCATTTATCGGCTTGTAGCCTGACGCAGACGCTGTCCAGCTCCTTAAGCTTCTCCACGGCGGCGGAAACGCGGTGGTGGGCATTGCCACGAGGCACATACTCCTCCACAGCACTAACAGCGAGGATAGCGTCTCGAATCTTGATGTAGCGCTCGAGCATTGCAAAAGTCGATGACCACCTCGTGACGTTCGCCTTGACAGGCCTGAGGTGAGTTACCCTCGCAAAGGCTGCAGCGTTGTTTGATCGGCGTAGCTGAATCATCAAAACTTGGATAATATTAATCTGATTCTGATAATCCTCCAAAAAGCGATTGACTGCAAGGTTGAAGCGATGGCTGGAACAGCCAATCAGCGGGACGCCGATTTTGTTTGCGAGACACTGATTGATCGAAACAGTGGTCGCCTATAGAAACGCACATACTGGAGCTCTTTCACATACACACACTAAAATGGACTCAAGTGTTTCACAGTGTGCATCGGCTGTCTGGCCTTCGGTCCATTGGTGAACAGAGATATGAGCCGCTGGTATCGCACTCCATTCGCCACGTACACGGCAAATATGCCCAGGAAGTGTAACGAATTACACGTCCAGCCGTCGAACATCAGGGCGAATGACTCGCCCATTTCAGATGCGATTGCCTGGCCAACCTTGCCGGCTACATAGCGCATATAGAGCTTCATTGTCTTGACAGTTATCGGCTTCATCTTCACCACGTCGCGTGTTAGCTTGTTCTCTACCTCCGTGATCGGCAGGTTCCGCTGGATAATCCACCTCATCCATAAGTAGATGGTTAGCGTCGCATCGTCGACAAATCCGAACGTGTCAATCGTTGCGGTAGATGCGGCC